TACTGATCACAATACACCTTGGTTATGATCACAATCTCTATGGCCTAGCGTTCTTTCCAGGTTACTGTCATCACTGCTCCTGGGTTGATTGATGACCACGTTGGAGAGTCACATCACCCGAGGGAGGGCTCCATACAGACCCCGGGAACATCACACGGCCTATGGAGGAACGCCCAGATTTTCCCTGAAAGATCCCAAGCTGGTCTGAGACTGTTAAGGCAGTTTTTGTTGTTTTTTTTGAAGCTGTGAACCCGCTGCCTTCTCAGACCACCGGTGCTCTGCTAATAAACGCTTATTCTATGACCCAACTCCTGTGTCGGTCTGTTGGCTGAGTGGCGCCGGCAGCACGAGCGTGGACTCGTTTGGCCTCCGGTTTCAAGGGGAAGTGGTTTGCCCGAGGTCACGCTGGGAGCCAGAGCCTCCTGCCTGACTTCTGGCCTCTCCCTCCGTCCATCGCTTTCCCCCGAGGCACCCCTTAGGTACCCGACGGGGCGGCCCTCCTGCCACTCACCTGGTCGGCCCCGAAGGAGGTGAGGTTGCTCCTAACGGAGCTGGCGGCCAGGGCGAGCAGCAGCAGGCCGACGTAGAGGGTGGGCGCGCAGTACGGGGAGGGCGAGGAGCGCAGGCATCCGCGCGAGGGGCAGGCGGGCGCCAGCTGCGCCTCGGGCATCTCGCCGCAGAAGGAGCGACGGCCGTCGGCGACGGCGGTGACGGGCAGCAGGCTGGAGGCGACCAGGTAGAGCAGCAGGCTGAGCGCGATGGCGCGGAAGCGGCCCAGGTACACGTCGGCCAGCCAGCCGCCGACGGGCGCCAGCAGGTAGGAGGCGCCCAGGAAGACGAGCGCCGCGCGCGACGCCTGCTCGCCGGCCCACTGGAAGTTCTCGCTGTTCAGGTAGAGCACGAGGTTGCCCGCGACGCCGAAGAAGGCGGCGCGCTCCAGCATCTGCACCAGCAGCACCGCGGCCGCCGCCGCCCGCCNTTCTGGTGGTTTCTTACGCAGCAATGGATCATGCAAACAAACCCTACAGCAATGCACGGGGCTGGGGAAAGCATGCTGTACACCTTTTCCATCCACATCCTAATGACAAGAGCTGTAACTGCCTCCAAGGTCTGGAGACAGGTTTGCTTTAGCATAAGTCATTGATTAACTTAGGGAGCCGAGAGGCAAAGCGAGCCATTGTGCAAGTACAAGGCCATTCAGAACCTTCCTTCCTTGGATGCCAGCTAGCGGGGAGGAGCCAGTTTGACTGATTTGTTAGGTTTTCTTACACTTAATATCAGCGTGGTGTAGCATTATTTATATTATATCCCAACAACCTTCCCTGGTACCATTATCTTTATCATCTCCATCTTGACTGCCATTGTTATCACCATTGACTGCGTTTATCTTCATGGTAGCTACTAACACCATCTTTCCTCTTTACATGATGATTCCATCATCACTGTCAAGACCATTAACATCCGCATACCTTCTACAGTTAGCCCATCACCAGTACCACCACCACCATCACCTTGACCTCCACTGCCATCTTCAGTCACAGTGGGCAGCTCTGGCCCACAGGAGAACAGGTCATCCTAAAGGGCTACCTCTGGAGCTAAACCAGAATGTCTTCCAACTGGACTGTGACTCCCTAGGAGAAGCATGGCACTTCTCCAGGTTTGGTGGCCCCCTTTACTCAGAGCCCCTTCTTACCTGGCACAGTGTCGACACCACAGCCGGGGACAGCAGTTTTGGAAAGCAAGTTTAAGCATAGAGGACACTTGGCTGCCTGTGGGTGGCTTGGTGATGAAGATGGGGGTGGCAAAGAGGAAGACGAAGAAGGCCAGGCCCACACAGCCCACAGGGATGCTGTAGCCCACCAAGAAGCTGATGTTCTGTTGGATAAAGGCCACCACCAGCAGGGACAGCACAGCTCCCACGTTGATGCTCCAATAAAACCAGTTGAAGAATCGGCGGTTAGCATGGCGGCCAAGTTCCATCACCTGCAGGGCAGGGGTGAGAGTGAGGGCCAAGGAGGTGCGTGGACATCCTGCCATGACATGCTTTCTGTACCTGCACTCCCTCTTCCACAGAGACACTTCTCGGGTCAGCGGGTGGGCATTCCAGCACTTTCCTAGTCCCTGATCATTAAATAGACACTCAATAAATATTTGTTGAGTGAATGAATAAACCCTTCTCTTAGGAGTCACTTGTTAATGATCAGGACATGTTGGCACAGCTGTTTCTTCATGCCCATGACACACATTGCTTTTTTTACTGTCACCAAGTAGTACACACAACAGATGTCTCTGACGCCACTTTGTTAATTTCTGGTTGATTTATCCCTTTGTCTCTGACTGAGCAACCTACAATATGCATCACCTTTATAATCAGAAGAAAGCCAGTAAAGATCTCAAGTTTGTTCCACTTTATTCAATGTAATGTATGCATGTTACTGACAGAACAGTTAGAGGTCTGTCTCATTGAGGATTTCCTTTGCAGTTTGGAGATGCAGAGTTTTCTACTGTGGCCCATCCGTTCCCTCGACTTGCCTCCCTCTGATATATGCCCAGTCAAACAAGGTTGACACAATCAGGGAAAACAGAGGTGGTCCCAGACAGAGCCTCAAGGGTGGGAGGAAAAGGATATTCAGGCCCCCCAGCAAGGGCAGAAGGGCTGAAAATCTTTACCCAAAATATGAATCAATCTGCAACAGTCAGGCCCCAGGCCCCCTTCCAGTCTGCTGGCTCTGGTCAGCTGCACTGGCTGCCCCAATCTCTCCCAGACCCTGGTCCCAGATTCTGACTCAGCAGGTCTGGGGCAAGGCCCAGGCATCTGCATTTCTAAAAAGCAGGCAGGACTGGAGGTCACTGCTCTAGATAAATGATTCTGTACATGGTTACATCCATAACCCTTTCAATGACCCCGAAATCTCTCCCCTTCCATCCAGAGATACATATTTCCACCAGCCAGGAAGATTTTGTCAAGCTTTACTTTCTGTAGTTCCATTGGGGAAAAGGTAAACCTTTTGTTCCTTTTCAAAATGTAAAATGATAGTCCATAGAGATGTGTTTAAAACTGCATTCTCTTGGAGATTCTGAGGGGTCCTCTTGGCAATGGAGAGGGACGGGCACGGCCACTCACTGAGAATCCTTGCGATAGACTTTCAAGCAGAAAATTAAACACGTCCCATTCTGAGCAGCCACTTCCATTTCTTAATCGGGTGTAAATGAATATGGCAATTGCAACTCTAAGGGGAAGACCAGCTAGCCCATTCAGGATATAAAGGAGCACTTTGTTAGGGATGATGGATGGCCCTTTCTGAAACCAGCAGTGTGTTCAACACGCGGTTCCTGGGTATAGCTGTCTGCCAGATGGTGCCAAGCCCTCCCACCTACACATCCCCCATCTGACTGTCCCCTTAAATTTGAGGCCGCCCCTCACTGCTCCGGTGTGTCCACTCTTGTTACCCCCATCCACTCTCTGCACTGTAGCCAGAGCCACTGTAAAGAACGCCAATCCAATGATGTCCGTCCTGCCACAGATCCCATCAGTGTTTCCAAACTGTCCTAGGGGTCAGGCGCAGACCCCTAAGCAGCCTTCCAGTGTGGCCTCAAGTCGCCCAAACCCATGCCCAGTGAATGGAGGCTCCTGGGAGCTGTTGTCACTGTTGATGCCACTAGAGACTGCCCAGTGGCATGGCCTCCAGACCAGTTCTGCCACCGGGAGGAGGGGGAAACAGGACACGTTGGATGGCTGAGGCCCTCTGGAGGTCAGTGAGGTCAAGGGCACAGGGTAAGGGCACCTGGGGGTGTAGTGAGATGTCAATGAAAGAGTAGAATTAAGGGAAGA